ACCAGATAGAAGACTGGAGCAGGAGGCTCGTTTAAGCATCAGGTACATTTTGTTCAGTTGGTAAGCTCACTAGGAGAGAGTCCAGACAGCCGTGAGCTCGGAGATACTCACCCAGAGGAGTGAAGCCCCGAGCGGGGCTGGTGTCACGGCTGCTCTCACGACTGGTGTCGCGACTGCAACCTTGACTCATGCTGGGACGGGGAATGCGGCTCCGGGCTAGCGTGCGGTAGGGGAGAGCAGCAGGAAGAAGAGGTTTACCACACAGGCTGGCTGTTAGGACAACAAGTTAGGTGGGAGTGTCAGTGTGCATCCATAGGAGAGAAAAGGTGGGAATGAGGCTCGGAGAGAGGAAGACAGAGAGAGAAGAATACTGGAAGCATCAAGCCTCGGATGAGGGTCCTGGAGCATGTAATAGCCAACAATATAAACAGTTTTAAGTGGTTGAACAATAAGTGAGTAACTCTGGTTTTCCATGAAGAGATTAAAACGATGTGTTGGTCATTAGAGACAGGAGATTTCTGCGCAGCCCATGTTTATGAGTTTCGGCAGAACAGTGTAAATGACAGCACAGAAAATCAACTGATTCATAAACCAATCAATAGAGTCAAACTCTTGACCTCTGTCATTGAGTCGGCTAATACAGAGAGACTACGAGAGATTAAAAAAAAGCAGATACAGAAGGAAATGGTGAGAGTAAAGAAAATGACAAACAGCAGTAGGGGTGAGTGAGAGTCAGTCATACAGCACATGGCCAGGAAAGGTTCGATCCAAACACGAGCCCAGGCTTCAAACTGTTAACTTGTGAGAAACAGATCAAAACAGCAGGATTCCCGAGTTTGTAAAGAAGAAAAAATACAATACAGGAAAATTCAGCATTTTAAACGAGCAAGTTAAGAAAATAAAGACCTCTTTCCCATCTCAAATCAAATCTATAAACAAACACAAAGAAACACTTGACAAGAAACCAAATTTATCAGAAAAACCAAACAGTTTTTTACTTATACTCTTTCATCAGGTAACCAGCAACTGATCGAGGGTTAAAGAGCTTCATAACCAATAAGAGTTTGGACCTGTAAGTCTGAAAAGTCATGACTGCGCCTGGCCCTACAGCAGGGCAGCCAGAGAGGAGAGGTGTGGTGCACAGGAATTCTTAAGGTGCTGAACCACGAAATCAGTAAAAATAAAACAGCAAGATTATTAAAGATCATCTTCTTGGGAACGTCCACAATACTAACAGCATCTCTGCTATCTTTAGATTTCTGTTCACTTACACTGCTCAGTCAAGAACTGCTGTTTTAAAGTGACCTAAACTTCACAGAGAACCAGAGCGGAGCCAGACATTTGAAACACCCGGGGCTTAGCCCTAAAGG